GTGAGCGTAATTAAATGAATTTTTTATGGTTACATCAATTAATAAAACTGGGTATAATTTGTAAAATATCAGTTTTTCGTATAGTATATCGCTAATAAAAAATGTTGTGAAATGTGGAAACATTTCATATTTATGAAAAATATTGGGTGTTCCATTTGAAAAAGTTGAATTATATCTGTTTAAAAATGAATGAAACTTGACCGATTTTACCGAGCACGCTATATATTGTTTCCGAAAGTTGGGATTTCCGAAATTATCATGGTGATGTTGACTAACTATTCCTGAAAAAAATTCACTCAATTGCTGTAGACATGACATTGCCAAAAATTCCTTGAAATCTGAAACAATATGGAATCGAATGGCGTATTCATATATCGGATGTTCAATTCAAAAAAGTGTAACTGTGGTTGGCCACGCTCGGTTGACTCGCCCAGTATGCGAGAAAATAATTTTGAAAGATAGTATTTATCGATATGACTGAAAAAAAATTGAGCAGTTCGAAAATTTGTTTTCCCTGATGGCAATGGACCGAGGGAATCTTGTTGACTCACTCTGTACACTGGTAGGGTAGCATCTACATCAGTTTCCTGAATGAATTTTTATCAAAATGAATGCTTGGGTCATTATGGATATATCAAGGGTAAATTATATTAAACACATCTTTTATTTTCATTATACATATTTATTTTCTCCAATTGAATGTTTCATCAGATTCCGACAATACAAATAAATTTACACAACACTTCCATATAATGCATATATAAATAATGGAGATTCATATGTATATAAAATAGTTCAAGCAGGAAATGACATTTATGTACTGATCTGGTGCCAATCAAACGAAAAGCGCCTAATGAGAATATTCTATTCAATAATTAAAACGATTATATGGAAGTGTTTTTATACTATTAGTGAACTGTTACACACACTGTATAAGAAAATAGTTCAGTCCTTTGGACTTAAAAGATAAGATCCATCATTCCATCCCAGAAAAATTTAAGAAACATCATATTGTGATAATTAGAAGGGATCTATTTTTAGGAGAGAATAATTTTCCATCTTCATAAAAAAGATGTTGGGATGATAATTGTTTTCAACCCCTAATTATAAACCACAATTTTAATATCAATCATGAAACTAAAAATATTAAAATAGGAATAATATCAAAAAAGTTATCTTGAACATAAATATTGTTAGTAGGTTTCATATTTCATTAGGAATATGAATTTTGGAAATATCGGGACGAATTTCTCTAAAATTTTTTCAAATGAAAAATCACAAAAAAATTTTGTGATCGATCTAAAGACTTTTTTCTACACATGTTTCTTCTGCGTGAGGAATTATGAAAATAAAAGACCATTTAGAAAAATCAACCCTATACAAAGATATGTAGGTCATGCAAAGAAGTAACTTTCAGACACAAACTAGTGGAAAAAGCCCTTTCGAAATAGCTATTTTTATATAAACATGGAATCACACAAAAAATTCAAAATAACTAGTTTTATATGAACATTAAATCATACAAAAAACACTTCTCTCTTTTCAGTTTGTATTCCAAACATCCGTTGTAGAATTGAATCAGATATCAACCATAGGATTACTACACAATATGATAAATGAAAGACTGTCTCAATACTGTAATCTTTACTGGTGAACATCCGATTTTTCGGAATATAACACTTGTCTTATTACCTCTTTTGCACCAATCTGGATAAGATTATGAGATGAATCACTCAATTTATTCATAAAATTACGACTTTATGTCACGAATGACTTGAATCTACTAATCGACGACAGTACGTAATGCCATTCATTCGCATAATTGATCAACTTCCAGCCATAGGAGTCTTGTTAGAATTGAAAGGGGTATATTTTCAGGAGAAATTGAGTTTTGGAAGTTTTTTCTAAACTGATTTGCTTTCTTCCTTTTTTTGGAAGGTTCCCATATTCATTGTATAAAAATGGAGGAGTAGAAAGCCAAAACCTATTCTTCTCAATTTGTATATTGCTTGAAAGACATCATTTTTTGTAGAGAGATATTCTCGTGGGGTTTTCAACACCCCAAAATCTTAAAAATGAAGACACTCAATAAGGAATCCGTTAGTGTGTAATAAAGGACAAACTGAAAGATTCACTTCTGAAAGTTACTGCGTAATTTAAACTTCTGAAGAATACAATGAGAATGAATTTAACCTATAATTGAACTCGTTGATTGAAGAAATACAATACAATCATTCATAACGATCGACGTTTCGGAAAAAATCTTTTCCGATTCAATTTCTGCAGAATAACTCTCGCATACGCCTCCTTTGGGAATGTGAATCATCCTTTTGACAAATGTCAAGAGAATAAAATTTCCAGGCGTCATAGTCGATAGTCTATAATCTATAGGAACACATACTCACACACACAGTATGTTTGCCGAGAAATCATTTCAGGCTGACCTTTCGTCTCAGCAATGATATGCAGGTGCAGTTCATTTCGACACAGTTAATTGAAATACGCTTGATACCTGCCAAAAGTATGTAAACGGTTTTTTCGATGTTTCATTTCATTTCACCAGTTGATTTCCAAATATGCTTCACTGTCCACAATCATCTTATTTGTTTTTCATTCATGTATCCACGAAGTTCATTTTTTAGGTGTATTGAAGTTTCACCTACATAACATTTCCATAGGATGAATACAGGGTGTTTCAAAATAAGTGGGTACCACTGTTATTATTGATGCAACTAGTTGCATTTTCAATGTCGTTCTCGATGCCGAAAATAAAAAAAAATACAGTCGCGTTTTCAAAATAATTCATAAAATGATATTTCTTTAAAAGAACCACCCTATTTCGATTCGTAAAAACATTCCTAACAAGAAATTTCATATCACCTTTCTTCCTGAAGTTGAAAAATATTTATTTATTTCACTAGTACAAAACGTTTTTTGTTTCGGGAAATGAAACCTCATTGAGTTCAAACACCCAATTTTGGTACTTATACGAATGACAAATTTTTTTCACTAACAACAAAAAGAAAAAATGCGCTGGGATTTGAACTCATGAAACCCCTTGATCATGTCGTACCACTCACTTGACACCACTGAGCTATTTGGTATTAATTCACAAAACGATAATTTTCAAATTAAAGCCATTCCACTAGCCGTATTTATTTTGTGATTCAAAATATGTCTGCTATAATGATAACTGCAATGGCTAAATCGATAGGAAAATTTGCCAAAACAAGACTCCTTTGCTTTCTGAATGGAAACAAAATAATAAGTGATTGCCAGTTTGGTTTCCAAAATCAAAAAACACTTTCGATGCCATATTTTCATTTCTTTACAATGCTTATTCCAACATAAATGACAGAGAAACAGTGGCTGCGGTCATTTGATTGCGTGAATCATAAAATTCTTTTACGGAAACTCAGTAGATCGCACCCAGATGGTCAAAACCACTTCATACTCAAATGAAGTTAAAATTACTTGCGGCATCCCTCAAGATTCGGTACTGGGCCCACTTTTATTCTCAATTTACATTAATGATCTATCGTCTATGAACATTCAAGGAAAATTCACATTATTTGCTGATGATACTACTACTATGGCATACTCCTAACAACATAAGTTGTATGAAGTTATTGTATGAAGTTATGACTGGTTTGACTCAAATCTCTTGAGTCTGAATGTATCAAAAACAAATCCTATCGTTACCAGATTCCAGCCGTACATCTAAATAATATTCAAATTGACAACGTACCAAATTGTTAAATTCCTTGGCTTGTTTATTGACAGTAATTTAAAATTCAACAAACATGTAGATACTTCGAAATCGAAACTCTCCTGTGGATGTTATGCAATACGAGTAACTACATTTGAGCTACAGAAGCTAGAATGGTTTATCATTCCCTTTTTGAATCCCATCTTCGTTATGGTATTCGCTTTTGGGGTGTGTGTTCTACCACATGCCTTCAATCAGTATTACTAATACAAAAACGTGCAATACGATGCATATGCAAAGACAAGCCTAGGGAGTCTTGTCGGCCTCTTTTTGTCTTTTCCAGAATCCTAACTGTGGTATCCTTATTCATATATGAGACAATCTGCCTTCTCTTCAAAAATAGGATATTGTTTAGCAACTTGGACGCGCCAATGTATCAAACTAGGCAAAGATTCAGCTTCAAATTACCGCTGCCTTCTTCCATTATTTACAACGGTCTCAAAATGTTCAATCATCTTCCTCAAGATATAAGAACGATAAATGAACTTAGAGCTCTTGAGAGAGAGTTGAAAAAATTGCTTTCTGTGAGACCTTATTATAACCTATCAGAATTATACGATGATAATTTTAATTGATAAAACTAACTGTAATATCTACGGTATTTTATTAATTGATTGATTTCAGTGACGTAAAAAGAATGTTGCGAGACTGTTTTGGAAACAGATGGATCGCTACAAATGGTTCTGTTAAGTGACCTTCCCGTTCACCAGACATGACACCTGTAGATTCCAATTTTGGGTATTTCTGAAAAATGAGATGTACAAAATAACACATGATAATGTAGATGAACTGGGAAATCATATTGGAACTATTATCAGTAGAATTGATGGCCGAATTGTGTTGAAAGCAACACGTAGTGTCAAGAGAAGGGACTAATATATGTTCAACAAGACGGCGGTGTTTTTGAACATTCACTCTTCATTCGCCAAAACAAAGAAATTTTTTGTACTAGTGAAAGAAATGAATATTCTCACATAAGTCGTGCTTTTTCGACTTTAGGAAGAAAAGTGATTCGAGCTTTGTTGTCAAGAATGTTTTTACGAATCGAAATGCATGATGGAATATAAGGTGTTCCATTTGAAAACATATCATTTCATGAAATATTGTTAATTTTTTTTTGTTTTCGGCATCGAGAAGGCCATTCAAATTGCTACTAGTTTGCCTGTTCAACCGAATTCGTAGCATCAATAATAACGGAATTGGCAATTATGTCGACTTGATTTGGAACAACCTGTATACTATTTAGTATAGGTGAAACTTTGAAACCGTTAAATGGAAATGACATTTCATCCCTTTGACATTTGTCAAAAAATGCACATATTTTTGAAGCAGGTTTGATAGAAATTAATTTGGCAGATTTCAGAAACGGAAAGGATTTTTCTCGGTTTTTAAAAAACTTGGTATAGAAAATTCAATTTTTTCAGTCAATAAGTTTATTCAAGAATGAAACAAGTTATTCTGTGATCAGACTACTCACTTCTCGAGGTGAACGTTTCAGTTTTCCCTTAATTATATCATATTCTTTGTTGATCTATATTAAAATATTTTCCAGATGGTGATAAGAAACCGAAAATACATCAAGAAAAACACCTCAAGTTTTATTGAATTTTTAAATTATGCATGAAATTGCACGCATGCATATTTGGGTGGAATATTGCTGTTGAAATAACAGTTTTCTGAAGTTTGTATCAACTCGCAAATATTTTATGTTTTTGAAACTGAATTGGAAGAAGAACACTGGCGAATGAAATTGACCTCCCCATTTAATATACACAATGGCGAAGACAGCGGGATAGATAAAAATGAAAATAAAATGAAAATAGTTAAAAAGCAAGGTTCAAAAATGAATAGCAAAAATAAACAAAATCAAAAAAGTAAGAGATGGAATGTTTTGAATTGCATTTGTCACATTAAATGTTTCCTACAAATAGGGAGATGTTACAATATTGTTTTGGTTTAGTTGGTGGATGTCAATAAACCAGTAGTACCTACACGAATTAGTCCATACATTACTTAGGTAGATTTCCGTATGTTACTCCTATAGATTGTGTGAGGATATCTGAAGTCTAACCTTTCATTGAATAAACTGACAAATTTCGATGGAAATGGAAGTCAGAATAAGTTTTGGAATTTTAAAAATCATATTGCATTGTGCGAGAATTTCAGTAAAGCAAAATGGAGAACTGCAGACGATTTGAATAGCCAATTTGACATTATTCAAAAATTTAGGATCAATGAATGCATTGATTTGTTTTTTGACCAAATTGATTTAAATTTGAGATATATGAGAGTGTCTGATACCAGTACATACTGTGTTCTAATCAAAAAATTTTATTATCTACATGTTTTCAGCTAGGTATATCAAAATCAGTTCATAAAATACGTTAAATTGAAAACCGTCTTATCACAAAATTTTTTGAGGAAGTTTTGCGATTTGCTTGTGTTAATCTAACATTGGCGCCATCATAAAAAACTTCTTGTTTTGTAAATGAAAATCAATACGGACTTCGATGGATCGTCTGTCACAATCTATTCAAAACAAAATCTGTTTGAACTCTCAAAAGTCGAAACTTGTGCGGGCTAAGGACTAACGAGGTCGTACCTTTTGACGTGTGATTCCTAACACGGGTCCGACCTTGTGGCTCGAACCACCGGTTCACACAGCGGTCGATTGAAAGTGCAACATAAGCAATCTTTTATCGCCCGATGCAACTTTTATCCTCGAAACACTCCAGCCTACAGGGTAAGCAACGGAGCAGTTGTTTCCATCAGTCGCCATGAGCTCCTCAGAGGAGGACGATGTTTTTGCTTACTGGTACCGGCAAAAGAGGAAACGGGAATCTAGAAAATACTGGTTACACCCATATAATATTAAACACAGTTCAACATTGGTTTCCCGTGAGCTCTCTCAACATGAACAGAAATTTAGAGAGTTTTATAGAATGAGCTCAAATAGTTACCATGTTTTATTGAGGATTTCAAGGGGACTGGAAAAGCACGGGTTCTGCTCTACCAATTTCTGGAAGGAAATAGAGAATTGCACATATATGAACATGTCGAACGATATTGCGCCTTTCTTTCGCATAAGCGACCCGGCAGCTGTGTCCCCCTCACCGATGCGACTCCGATAACATTAGTTCACAGCCAATTCACGACTGCCACGTAAGATTTTTGAGTTATGCTTTTTTTTCAAAAATTTAATGAACATGCCATTCCAAGTTTGATTTTCCCCTAAATTGAGGAAATTGTTCAAAATCTGGCAACACAGCGGCTCTGCTCAGTATTCGAATCTGCTTCCGCTGTATATGAGACTTGTAAAGCCGCTTCTCGAACTTCCGATACTCGAAGTTTCCAGAAAATACCAGAAATACGGAACCGCTATAAAAGTAGTAGGCTGACAAGCGGATCATCAATATTGGTTTAACGCGAGTAGTGGTGAGTTAGTATAAGAGAAGCGAGGTGAGCAACCAGGTATTATATTGGTGTTATCTTTGTGAATAAAATAAGTTGACTCCTGTGAACGCAGTATCACATATTTGAACTCTACGTACGCAACAGTACCAACATGTCCAAAGTACAGAAACGTGGCTATATCAATCCCGCAGATAGTTTTTACTATATATGTGGTCAGTTTACTCCTAAATCGCAGAAACGAACAATTAATCAAATGACCAAAGTAGCCTACCATAAGTATTTTGGATGTGTTGTTGGTGATCAAGATCGGGATTAGGCTCCTCACGTATGTTGCTAAATCTGTGCAGCAAATCTGGTTTAACTGGTTAAATAGCAAACACTCTTCTATGCCTTTCACAGTTCCAATGATTTAGCGAGAAACAACAAATCATCACAACGACTGTTACTTTTGCATGACAAACGTGTCTGGTTTTTCAAGAAAGAGCAAACACGAAATTGTATTTCCGGATATTCCTTCTGCAAAAAGGCCGATTCTGAATGGAGGTTTACCAGTTCCATCACCACCAGCAAATTGGAAAGAAGATTTAGAAATGTATGATGACTAGGCAGGTTCCCATGATGTGTTCCCATGTGTCCTTATTATCCCCAGAGTGAAGGAAGAACACCCCATTTCGTCGAAAAACATGTATTAAATGACCTAATTCGGGAACTCCACTTTACTAGCCCCTCTGAAACCAAATTTACAATATTTAGGAACCGTCACCATGAGCTATTCTCGTTATTTACTATGCAGGATAAAATGTGTGTTTGTGTAAATCTAAATGGTGTGATGCAAAAATTAGAATTTGCACATAATCCGAACGAATGTTGTTTATTTATAGATTCGTCTAAAGCATGTTTGAAAGCCGTTCTGCTCCATAATGGTAACGAAATACCCTTTATTTCTCTTGCACATGCAGTTGCTATGCAATACGTTATAATACGTATAATTGGCAAATATGTGGTGACTTAAAAGTCATAGGACTATTTCTAGTTCTTCAGGGCGGATTAACGAAGTTTTGGTGTTCTCTTTGCGTTCGGAAGAATAGGACAACACAAGGCCATTATCAAGTAAAAGAATGGCCCCCGAGAGATAAATATATTCCAGGTCAAGCTAACGTGAAGAATATACCTCTTGTTAATCCCAAAAACGTTTTGTTTCCTTCATTACACATTAAACTGGGGTTAATGAAAATTTTTTAAGAAGGATTAGACGAAGAAGGTGATGCGTTTAAATATCTTGAATACGTTTTTCCAAAATTAATTGATGCAAAGTTCAAGGAAGGTATATTGTTGGGACCACAAATCAGAAAACTAAGTACTAAGTGATCAACAGTTTGATCAAAATTTAAGCAATGTCGAATTAGCTGCGTGGAATTCTTTCAAAAGAATTGTTTCGGAGTTTTCAGATAACAAGAAAGTAGAAAATTACGAAAAGAAGAACTACTTGAAAACTACTGCAGAATGGGATGCCTATTTCTTGCACTCCCATTTGAATTTTTTTCCAGAAAATTTGGGTGCTGTGACGATAAAGGAAAAAGGTTTCACCAAGACATACTGACAATAGAGCAGAGTTACCAAGGCAGATGGGGTGCAGCAATGATAGGGAATTATTGTTGGTTCTTTATGAGGGAAAACGATGAAACATATAAACGGAAGTCAACATTTTCAAAAAGGTTATGCACAAAAGACTTCATTTGAACGTTTTTTCATGTGTATTGTTATCCTCAAAATATATTGTTTTCTTCTTGTTTTGATCTTATATTTCCCTATTGTATAAAATAAAAATGACTATAACTCAAAATCTTTACGTGATGGAAAATTTTTGATTGCAAATGAATTGTACGGAACTCAACATAAATTAACAAAATTTGAAAAAAGTCCAGGATATGTTGGAGCTAAGTTTTTTAACAAACTACCGAGCAGCATACAGAACATGAGTTTCAGAAAGTACAAACAAACAATTAAAAAAATGATTTTGGCAAAAGCATATTATTCGGTTAGAGAATTCCTCAATGACAGTCACAACGACCATTTACATTTACCATTATATATTACGTTTCTAAGTGTATTGTCAATTTGTGTATGAGTGTAAAACATGACGTGTATATCCATCTTATAGATGGCTGCTGTTGCAAATACAAATAAATGAATTTGAATTTGATGTTGGAGTTGCAGTCAGGATGCTTTGAACTCTCATGTTTATCCATTATAATATTGGTCAATTTTTTTTCTTATTTGTTGGCTAGTGTAATTATAGATATAGTATTGCGATCGCTTCAGTGTGTACTAGATTATTTGCTTCCATTATGTATGCACGATTACGAGTGATCGGTGTCAAATCAGGATCGGTTTGCTAATCGAATCACTTGTTGCATAGCTTATCGTATCGCTCCAGTAAAATCCGCGTCTTAAACTATGTTTTATTATTCCAATTACAAAATATGCAGCTGAAGTTTTTTCCCCAAACTTACCCATATCCCAATTAAATGAGTTTACAAGTGAATGAAATAACCTGGACCAAGTTTTCATAATGAAATCAGTGTGTGTAACATTGCTCACTCTATGATAAATTGAAAGAATTAACAAGCAAAAAATTAAGGAAAATTATCTAGAGGTGTGGCCATAGCAGTCTACTGATCTTTTATTGAAGTTCCATTTGCATAAAAGTTCTATGGTGAAATGAATGTACTGAAAATTATATTTAAGTTTGAAGTGGCGGCACAAAATAAAAATCTGAAATTCAAATACTGTGCAACTGTTCAATATCTTATTTCGTTTGCTCATCTATTCAGATAAGCAAACGAAGTACTTCGACAGTATTTTTCCAAAAAAAAAACACAAATTCCTGATGATATGTTGATAATTTTCGATTGGGATGCACCTTTAATTTCTATCTGCAAGGTATCTGGCACACATTTCTGTTGGACATAATTCAATGTGTACCGTGATATTAACCAGGAAATCAGTTGTTTTTCAGCAGGCATTTACCAGAACCTATGAGACGTGAATGTTTAAAAAATTCAATTTTGAAATATCCATTCTCTTATACCTAAGGTGGTCTGGGTACGGTTGAAACAAAGGACGGTTGAAACAGTGCAAATCCGAATACGAATTCAGTGCCACGCCGCTTTCCGCGCATTTTCATTGTTGGTAGAACGTCATATTATTATTTATTACCCAAAATTAAGTATTTTCCTTCTGACATTGAGGCTTATATTATATGTTCTTTTTAAGTGGATGTATCGAGTGTGTGTTTTGGTTGGTTTCCGGGTTTTGCCGTAGTCTTCTACTTCGATCACGCCACTGAAGATGACTGCCGCAGGAGCAGTTGAATCGTTTGGAGATTATAACCAGAGAAGAATTTCGAGTGTGTCTTTGTTATTATTATAGAGCTTGTCGAATAAGGGATGAGGACTATTTTTAATGTTGATGTTGATATTACTGTCGTAACTATAAAGTATATTTCACCAAAAGTGGGGTTGGGGACGGTTGAAACATTTTTTGTAGGTACGGTTGAAACGGAAAATATATTGTTTATTTTTTGTAAATGTCGTAAGTTCTGGCGAGGAAAACTTAGAGAGCGAAAATTAACTTGTCGAGCTATATACATGTTGTAACTAAATGAGTGTAAAACATTCAAGGATGTGATTCCTTATCAAAAAAAAATTGGATTTTTTATATAAATAAATTTCATTGGAGCATTCCTTGTTAAGATACAGCTCCTTAAAGGGGGTACATGAGATTTGTACAACAACTTTTTTCACAAGCACTAAAAAAGTTACAATATTGAAATTAACCTGACGTTTTGTACTACTAAAAAGATACTTAACGAAAAATTGATTTGGTTTACCCCATGGTTGTAAGGGGTGGAAAACGCAACCCCTAAAATTAATTTTCAATGTAACTTTTTGTCTTATTATTTGATTACCATTTAAAATTTATTTCCGATAGCCTGTTTCATTTTGAACAAAAAAATGTCTCTTGTGTTTTTTGCCTAAAATAAACCAGTTCGCAGCAAAAAATTATTTTAGGAACAACTACAGAGATACATCGTCATAAATGAAAAAATACGAAACTAATCTATCTAGTAGGTCGCTATTAGCGATAGTGACAATTAAATTGGTATGACGCTGTCAGTTTGTTGAATTGATACTAATTGTGTGTTGTTGTTCGGTTCCTAATTTGTTACTTTAATAATTCACTTGTTATTAAAATGACATACACAAATGAGGAAATGGCTGATATGCATTACGTTTACAGTCTGTCGCAGGGAAATGGGTTAGAAGCTTCTAGAAGATATGCTGAAATGTATCCCCAACGGCAGCATCCTTCACATAGAATATTTGCTCGAAGCAGTACTTAATTTGATCGAAGAACAACCTACTACCAGTACTAGAAAGATTTCTTTCCAGCTAATTGTTGATCATATGACGGTATTTCGAATTTTAAAGGAACAACTCTTATACTCTCTTATACCTTATACCATCTGCAACGAGTACAGGCACTGTTACCGCGAGACTTTCCGAACCGTCTTGAATTTTACAATTGGATGCTGGAAATGATCAGAAGAAATTATGACTTTCTGAAAACAATAGAATTCACAGACGAATGTAGGAATCATTGGGGATAATTTAATTGGGCCTCATTTTCTACCTCCTCGATTGAATGGTGAGGCATACGTTCAAGTTTCAAGAGAAGTGCATCCAGTACTGCTGGAGGAAGTTCCTTTGAACGTCAGAAGGGATATGTTTTTTATGCATTATGGGGCTCCCACCCATTTTAGTCAAGTATCACGTCAGCATTTAACTGAAACATATGCAAATCAGTGGATAGGTCGAGGAGGACGACAGAACTGGCCCGCTCGATCCCCGTATCTTAATCCTCTCGATTTCTCTATTTGGGGCCATTTGCAGCATTTGGTTTATCGTACTCCTGTTCGCGATGTAGAGGACTTAAGAAACCGCATCATCGATGCGTGCAGGGTAATCAGAGATACTTCAGGAATATTTGAGCGAATACGTGCGCCGACGTCTAGACACATGCGTAATGTCTGAAGGTAGACATATTGAATATTTACTATGATTTCTACATGTTGTGTGTTTTGTTATTAATAAATTAGTTTCGTTTATTAACCTTTAATCGTTTAATGCAGGTACTAACTACAAAATAACAATAAATCCAGTTCGCATTTATGACGATGTATCTTTGTAGTTGTTCGTAAAATAATTTTTTGTTGCGAAGTGGTTTATTTTGGGCAAAAAATCCAAGAGACATTTTTTGTTTAGAATGAAACAGGCTATCGGAAATACATTTTTGAATGGTAAACAAATAATAAGACAAACCGTCACATTGGAAACAAATTTTAGGGGTTGCGTTTTCCACCCCTTACAACCATGAGGTAAACCAAATATATTACTGACTAAGTCTCTTTTTGGTAATACAAAACGTCAGGTTAATTTCAATATTGTAACTTTTTCATTGCTTGTGAAAAAAATTGTTACACAAATTTTATGTACCCCCTTTGAGGGGCTGTATCTTAACAAGGGATGCTCCAATGAAGTTTCTTTATATGAAAGATCCTATCTTTTTTGCGATGAGGAATCACCTCCTTAAATGTTTTACAATTATTCAGTTACACCCTGTACAGTAATGCATATGAGGAAGTGAAAGTTGAAGATTCATTACGGAAAGCAATATATAAATCACTGTTTCCTGTTGAGATACATTCGAAAGCGAGATGCATCCGGCAAAGACGATCCCAACATTCCAGCCGTCTTTCGCAAAACGGGAATTTACCCATATAACAAGAAGCTGTTTATTGAGATCGATTGTGCTCCTGCATTTGTAACAGATATCGGGAATATAAAACTATAGAGAACAGAAAATACTATTACTATATCTAATGAAAATCCAAGTGAAAGTGAAACACCACCATTAACGCCTTCTGTTTTACCTGAAGAATTACAGTTGTTTCTCCAGACAATAGTTGAACAACAAGCTTTCTATGACTCAACAGTTTAAATAATTCAGCAAATGAACATTTATTAACCTGAAGGAACTATAAACACACCACCTAGACTTAGCAGCATCAGTATCTATCATGAAATTTCACCAAGACCGTCTACAAGTGTATAAGCTACTAATGATTGTATCATCCCCTGAGACAGTAAGACCATTACCATCCCCAAATGAAAGTTAAAAAAGGGTGAACAACTAGAAATTCAACTATTTATACTGACACATCAGAGAAAGAAGTGATATGAAAAGAGCATGTAGCAAAATTAAAACGGACCAAACCAAAGCAAGTTTTGAAAATATTAGATGGGAGAAAAGGTGAGAGATAATTTTTAAAAGGAATTAAAGAATATTCAGCAGGAATCAGGAGGAAAATAATACAACAGTATTGTTTGCAGGTCAGAGAGCAGATCTGCGGAAAAGTGAATTTATTGTAATTCGTTTAAACAGTCAAGACAAAGAAGAAAGCACAGAAAGTGGTCTTATCTACCATCGTTTGTCACAATTGCGACTCTGAATACTCTGATTAATCCTAAGCTGATCGTTTTATTTGAGTTTATTCTCAATGTTCATTTGATTCAAGAAGTGTTTTTTGTGTTTATTTCGAATGATTATTTGATTGAAAAAACAGTTTTCTTCTATAGGAATCCAACTAAAACGTTTTTTTAGGTTATTAAGGATGTTGATTTCATTATTAATGTTTGTTTTTGGGAATGTCTTTCATTCAGCTTATTTTCAAAGTTTATTTGTCTTTAGAAAAACATTTTCGTGTTAAGTTTATTCTGAAATTATTATCGTTTTTTGTAATTCCTTTAAATGTTTACGTCGAATACTGACGAATGTTTTAGAAGTATCGAAATCTTGAAGACTGATTAATATTGTCATGTTGTGCCATAATTATTCGTATAATTAGTAATAATGACAAAATAAACATGTTTTATTAGTATTTATCGTATCATTTGTATGTGTTTCAACCGACCCCAATCGCTATTTTAACCGCCCCTGGCATGGCGACGGTTGAAACAAAAATTATTATTTGTTTGAAGGTGGTTGACAATGTTTCGTGGTATATTTCATCAGTTCGGACTTCCATTGTCTACTATAATATAAATTGATTTGAAATCCCTGAAAGAAATTATCACCCGAAGTCGATTGTGGATACTAACAATCGAAACGTCGTGACGTAACTTGGTTTGGAATCTTTTAATTTCTAGTTTCATTTCTTGTTGATAATATTTTTTAATTTTCAGTTTGTATTAACTTTTCAATTTTTTTTCATTTTTTGGTTGTTGCTTGTATGTTATTTCTTTGTAATTTTAGTTTTTTGTTCAATAAAATTGTTATTTTTTTTGGTTATTTTTTTATAATTTCTTTCAGGGATTTCAAATCAATTTATATTATATCAAACAATGAAAGTCGGAACTGATGAAATACAAAAATTATTTTTGGGAAAGAAAGTTTTTGGCTTTCTACTACTTGATACAAACTAAAAATATAACCTCTTCAATTCACAAAAATCATTATTTTTTTAATTTCATATATTTCTGAAAACAGTAACCGGGAAACTATGATGATACAGCTATATCGTAGCTAAAATTCCACATTTGCATTCCACTTATCATAATCGTCACGTGGTTGATAAACAACAAAAAAACAAAATTATAAACCGTACCCAGTCTCTTCTACGTATCTCTTTTCGATACAGTCTTCAGACTTCATTCTTTAATTCAAAATGGTCTGTGAATATTTCCAAAATGAGCTAGTTTCTAAGTGTATTGGAAAAAAAAACGAATGATGAACTCATGGCACCCAAAACTTTTCAAAGTTTGGTCTGTTTTTTTTGACAACTAAGCGCCACTTCAACTGGTAAGAAAGGTGAATATCGTCAGCTTCAAAAATATACCAAAATACATTCAAGTAAAGCACAAAACTTATTGCATAATATATTACTTTCACTTCAATGTCTACGGCATTCTCTGAAGAAATGTCTCGAATGCTTCACTACCATAGTACAAAGACACTAATCGTATAACTTACTATAGCACAATCTCTTCAGAAGAGTATTTTTTATCACAGTTGTTATAATTATGCACTCACACTTTCGTCTCGATTTCACTTTTGAGCAGCACAAAAGCCATCACCAGAATCTTCTAGGTTGTGAGAGGAATAAGGTACGTTGCTAGAGTAATCCACAATATAGAGACGTTGATACATGTCGAAGAACTTTTCACTGCAACAAAATAATGACGGTTGAATAGTTTTGCTTTGAATGAAGAGATGATAGTGAAATAATAATATGATTAGTACAGGTTGCCAATTCTATTGTAGGAAAGTATTGAAACCTTTGTCATTTCAAAAAAGAGTAACAAAGAGGAATAGAGTGATGCATGCATACTTGTTAGTTCCAAAGTGGAGCCATCTATGTTTATCATCCAAAAGTTAGAACACTGCTAATAATAAACGTCATTGCTCTTATGTGACGAAATCAAATATCGACCTGGAAAGAATTTAGTCACGACCAATCATGTAAGTCCTATATTATAAGAATAATGATCATTTTGAATGAATAGTATTTCAACTATCTACATTGTACTCTTTTCAACATCAGAATATTAGCTGAGAGCCTGCAGACCACAGTATCCCACTCGTAATGCACTTTTTGGAACCTTTGGTGTAGTAATGAATATTACTAGAGTAGGGGAAGAGCGGGTAATGGGAATCAGCGGGTAATGATAGTCATCAACATATCTCCAAAACTATACCCGCTAGTAATGCGTTTACTACCGTCCCCGCCCCGCTCTGCCCCCTGCTATCGCTGCGAGCGCGCCGTCCCAGTTTTGCGACGGTTCAGGGAATGACAGGTATGTTTTGTTTTTACGGTTCACCGATGCAAATTTTTATGGACGCAAAATAAACGGTGAGTATTCTAATTATTGATCTACTAGCATATGACTGTAAAGGCATACTATAATTTTGTTATTCTGCTTTCAGATGCCGAAAGTACGAGTTAGAACTACCACAAAAACTTAGTGAACAAGTGATACTTTGAATAAAGCGTTGAAACTTATTGAAGAAGATGTTTTTCTATACAAAAAACCGCTAAGGTTTCGAAGTTTCGTTTTTTGGACCTCTTGAAGGGGCATATAAAAAATAGTGCCTTTTATATATGAGAAGTCACCTCGCAGAAAACATCACACCATATGAAGTAGCATTGAACAAGGCATTTAATAACGTTGCGTCTTTTAGTAAAGGAGGGTCGGGATTTAGACCTACAAGTATTTTTCCAAGAATTCCAACGTATTTTGTGATGAAGATTTCCTACCAGCTGATTTGCTCCGATCGGAAACTGCTGTCAGTCAAAACTTTGATTAGTCAGTTTTGCAAATAATAGCCCAGCTCCAGGCATAGAAAGTTTTTCAGTACCTGGCACATCAATGTAAGTTAATTCACTGCTACCTAGTGTTGCCGCCGAGACAAGAGATTCTTGACTCTTGTCTCGTCTTGTCTTGTCTAATCAAGTCTCGATCGAGACAAGAGAAGATTTTCCTTTCGAAAAATTTTGTCTCGTCAAGACAAGACATAAGGTCCTCTTGGATAAGACAAGACAAGACAAGACAAGAGAGGCTTCTCTCGACAAGAGAAGTCAAGAGAGGTCGAGAGAAAAATAGTATTATAGAAATCCAATTATAATATTCTTTTGATGCAAAATGCGTGTTAATATTCACCGTTCGACGATAAATGTTCATCAACTTCGAACCTCTACAACCAGTGAAATCTGACTGTCAAGCTATTCGGACGACTGAAATAGACACTAGAAACATTGATGCCAAAACAACAAACACCTTATATGGATACATAATAATTTTCGAATAACTGAAGATGATTACGAAATGAAATATGTTCATGAGCAGAATACCTGCTGTTTTCGAAGAATAATCAAGTATCCGAAACTGTTTTGTCAGAAAGTTTTCGATTAAATAATGCCTGATATACTTATACCAGAATAATTTGAAGTTATTCACAATTAGTATACAACTGACATCACTGTTAAACGGACGAATCCAGTGCAGCGTTCAAGTACCCAAATAACCACTAAGTTTCCGTTTACTGCAAATTCTGAATACCAAGGACGTTCTCTCGCCAAGAGAAGTCGAGACAAGACAAGACAAGACAAGAGAGTGCCTGAAAAACAGGTCTCTCGTCAAGAAGAGAGACCATTTCCTCTCGACTTAGTCAAGACAAGACGAGAGAAATCATTTTCTTGTCTTGTCTCGACAAGAGGCATCACTACTGCTACCATTGACGCCGCCACCACTTTCCACTCATGGACCGTTGGCCCATTAGCCAATAAAAGAAAACTTGATAGAGAAAGAAAGCTTGATAGAAAAAGAGAATAAGAAAAGTGAAACCGTCTGCCCAGCCAAGGATGAGGGAAAAGGAAAACCGAACCGAAAGAGTAAAGAGGAAGGTTCTCCATGAATCTCATGATACATCTGTTTCAGACGTGGCTACTGATGGTTTATGCCAAGTCGATGAGCTAGATGATGCTGACGACGCAGGGAATACGTGCTTAATTTGCAACGAATTTGGCCGAAATAATGATGTTTGGTACAGGTGTACCTCATGTGGTTTTTGGGCTCACGCAGATTGTATGGGGTGGGAGTCTGCCGAGGGTTATGAATGCGATTTGTGCTAGATTTTTGTATGATCCTCTATGCCCATGAGGTGACCACAATCACCCTTACTTCAGTGCAATGGGAATCAAAATTGTTTATTTTTTTACTTCTCCATTAACCAAAGATGATTATTCAAGAGATGATTACTGATCTCAAATGATAGCCAATTAAATAGATTTTGTTATGAGGTGGTTGCAATAAAAATTTAGTTCAATTCCATTAATTTATTTCAATTATTACTTAAGTGATCCCCATTACCCCTTTCTACGCTACACCAAACTATTACTGTAACACCTCGACAGGTGTTTTGATCACCAAGTGATCATCTTCAAGAGAAAGATCAAACAATTCAATGTGAAAATCTGTTATGTACAAATTTTTTATTTGAATTTTATTCAAAAGTAGTTACATTTTGGGGTGGTTATCACAATTTATATATTCCCTTCCAAGACCTACGAGTGAATGCCCTTCAGAAACATTGTTGACAGAATTAGATCGACCAGACAGTTATAATATCATAATTTGTCGATTTTCGATAACGCAATCGTGAAACTCATAGGTTCCCCACGAAACACTCGAAGGAGTTCATTATACCACTATGGCAAAGCATTTCCAAAAGCTTTACGATTCCTTAGGGAGAGTGGCATGTATGTATACTTTGTCCCTGAGGTATAACTTCCTCGGCGGGAACAGAAGATGAACGTGAATTTATAAAGCCTATATGCTTGTTGCACAAGACTTTTCAGATGAGATCCAGCAGAGTCGTAAATGGAGCTAGTGTATATTTTATCGACAACGTGTTTGTTACGGATCAATATTTCTATAGAAATTAAACATCCTGTTTTGTTGTAGAACTTCTGAAGTGTATACTATTCTTGTGATAGTTGAATTGTCAAACTGCACAGAGAAAGCCAAGTTCAAGTTTATTTAAGTATTGCATGTACAAAAAAAATATTACAATTTTTGTTTACAAAATGGGGTTAGATTTGCTCTCTGAGTAAAACATACCTAGGCGTAATTGCCTGTATGTGTGTGTTTTATCCAGAGCTCCTCTAAGAAAACTATTAGTATTGTACATAAAATTATCTTAAAAATTTTGGTGGGCATAGATTTACAAGATAAAAAAAAATAAGGAAGGTAATTAACTCTTATGTAAAGCATAACTTCAAAACACCTGTATATTTAATGTGTGCACGTATTTTTACTAAAACTCTGAAAGACATTCGACGATTTGTAGAGGACAGGGATAGCAGCAAATGGTGGGTGTATTCACTATCGTTGTATTTTATAGAAAGTTTCCTTGTTTTTCAGGATATAGTTCTTTATTTCAGTTTTAAAATTGCTTAGTTTGCCAAATATTTTTAAATGTACTGGTATTTCATTGTAAAATTTTGTACCGAAAAATAGAAACGTTCTCTGGTTTATAGCTTTTCTAAATGTAAGTATTGCTAATTCTTCATTACTAGTTTGTCTGGTTGGTTGGACAGATCTGCTTCGAAGTGAGTATTTAGTTGTGTGTACTCGAATTATACATTGATGAACATACAAAAGACTGATTGGTAGGATTTTTGTTTCTTCATATAATGATTTTGTGGAATACTGTTTCTTTTTTCTGAATATGATTTTCATGATGGAATTTTGTATGATATATAGAGGACGTAAGTTCTTAACGAAGGCTCTTCCCCATATCATAATATTGTATCTTAGAATGTATTCTACTAGGGAAGTATAAAGAATTAGTAGGTTTTTGCGTGAGAGGATATCTGAGGATATCTGAGTGTAAAGTCTGTGCAGTAATGCTCTCAGTCGTTTATTTAAATTCGAGATGTGCTCAGTCCAGCGAATGTGCTGATCCAGAGTCACTCCTAGGTATTTTATTGATAATACTCGATCTATTTCTGGGCAGGTACATGTATTTGTGTCCGTGCAAGTTGTTTTGTGAAGGTTTATAGAATAATCTCTAGTGGGTTGTGTATTAACCGTAGGTGTAAAAGGTATGAATTCAGTTTCAGAGACGTTTGGGGTAAGTAGGTAATGGTCCAGCCAAATTTGGAAATTTTTTAGATCTGCTTCTGTGGTTGATTTTATTTCTTCCAAGCTTGTTCCTGTGAATATCAGAACGGTGTCATCGGCATAGCATATTATGTTGGACGACAAGTCTCGTATTTGAACTATATTATTCATATAAACCAAAAAAATAAGTGGCCCCAGAATAGTCCTTTGTGGTACACCCATTTTGACAGTTAATTCTGAGCTCACGTCTCTTCCAATCTTCACTTTTTGTGTTCTGAATTTCAAATAGTTTAGCATCAGGTCCAATGCGATACCTCGAAATCCATAGTATTCTAATTTTTTTAAAAGGATATTATGTGAGACCGTATCAAAGGCCTCAGCAAGGTCAAGGAAAATAGCCGGACATTTTGATGATTCGTCTAACGCTCACACTGTTTTTTCGAGGAAATCAGCTATGGCATTTTCAGTACTGGATTGTTTAATGAAACCGTACTGCCTGTCAGTTATAATTTTGTACATGTTGAAAAAATCAAGCAGCCTG